TATGCGTAAAAGATAGAAAAATGTTCCATGTAATGCATCTGATCATCTTTGGAGATTTCGCTCTTCTGATGGATTTGATCTTGCTCTTTCTGCAAATGAGTCTCCATGCTGTGTAGCTAGATGAGCCTCCTGAATTTGCACCCAAAATGCTGTCAAAACTTTCATTTATGGGGCGCTGATGGCGCAATGGTTAGTGCGCGCGCCTCATGTGTGGAGGCTGTCGTCTCAAGCAGGCGGCCCGGGTTCACATCCCACCTGTGGCCTCTTTCCCGCATGTCGTTCCCCACTCTCTCTCCCTGATTTACAACTCTATCCACTGTCCTATCTATCCATTAAAGGCACAAAAAGCCCAAAAATAAATATAAAAAAAAACTACCCTAAATCACGAGATACCAATTCGCACTGGACTAATATTATCACATTACCTCTGTGTTTGGTGAAATACGGTAGGTAATTTGCGGTGGAATTTTTACTTTACAAATTACGGACATGGCAGATTCGCACGGGATTAAGATTGCAGACGACATCCGCATTTATTACAAATTACTAGAGGTCCCCAGGTAATACTAGTCTCGTGCGAATAGGGCTTAAGCTGATCGTTTACACTTACTGACATTGTTTCCTTTTTTCTAGATCCTTGCTTGTGTTGTACTTACTCTCTGATGTGCGTCGCTTTGGATAAAAGAGTCTGCTAAGTGAACTGTAGAATTTAACTGATTAACTGTGTTGTCCTTTACACATAGATGAGTCTTTCGGGTTTCTCAAGCCTGGTTCATTATGCTGAAGCTACGGAGCCCCTGAAGTCCAGATGAGTATTATATCAATGAATTAAGGAGGCACTTTCTCCACCTAACAACACTTACGTTAGCTAATAACTTTATGTTAGCCAATCACTTTGTGTTAGCGTATACTCCTTCACTCAGATTTAGCTTGAACCTCTCGTCCAAGCAATGTCAAGTATGATGTTTTTTCCCCAATTTTGTTATGTATGAAAAACATTTTAAACAGAATGTTATTCATAGTGATGTACTTTGACATTTGTTTTACCTTCCTGAAAGAAAACTGTGATTATACTCATTAACCTTTAATCCAAAAAACACGTTTAAAAGAAAAACATGCAGTTCTGTGCACTCCTACAGTCACTTGTTCGCCTGAATTTCCCCATAAAGTTGAAAAAAGTATACATTTATCAATCCAAATAATTTTCTTTCTACGTCATAATGCTTAAAAAAACATTTTTTCTTTAGAAAACAGATTTAAAAACCATGAGATTGATTTTATGAAAACAGTTGCATGAAGAGTGTGCTGACCCAACGATGAATTTAAAACAAAGAAATGAAATAGAGGAGTACAAAAAAAGGTGAAGAAAAAAACAAGTCTTTATTCTTCGGTCTTATTTTCAATGATTTGTTCTTTGTCTGCCCTCACCTCTTGCAAACTTTAATTTTTTTCCTCTCTCTGTCACCTCTTCTCTATTCGCTATCTTTCTGTTCATCCCACTTTATTTTTCTTTCGTCTTTGGAAATATATATCTACTTTTAAATTGTATTAAATTATCATGAATTATAGATTCTTTTTTCTTGAAAACCGAAATGCCAAGTAATTAAAAAAAGAGAGAAAAAGTAAAGATTCAAAATTCAAAAACCTTCTCTCTCTGACAGATGGCGGGTCATCAGTCCAGTGTCACAGTGACTGATTAATGATTGGTCCCTTTAGAGAGCGCCCGTCGTCCGCTTCGAGTGATTGGCTCCCCGACAGTTTGAGGAAAATCTCCCCTCAACTCCACCGATCTAAAGTTACACACAATTCTCCGGAGAGAGAAAGACTGTAAAAACAAATTGCAGAGATTTTTTGAACAGCTTTCTTTCCCTAAATGATCACACTGCTCTATTGAAAGCCCGATTCTTTTTGGTCAGACCTAATTTCCAAATCACGGCAGTGTTTAATAATTGAATTCTTTGCTACTACTACTTAATGTCATTAGAGACTTATGATCAAATAATATGGACACAACTTGTCATAGGTCATGCCAAAATGAGCTAGGAGAGCAAGCTAACGCAGAAACCAAGCATTGACTAGAGGGGGCGCTATCCGCTCCGGAGGTAGTGCCGCTGACGGAACTCTGCGGGAAATGGATTTGAGAAACAAACAGGTTCTTGTATGAATTAATTATTTCTATGTTGACTATTTTGTTTTTATTTGAACCATACAGAAAGTGATTAGGCTTTGACATGTTGGGAGTGGGAAGGCGTTGTCATTGGTTACCATGGTTTTTAGGGTGAACCAGCTTTAATGATTTAGGTTTTCATATCTTGAATACATTTTGGTGCATTTTGATGTTTTTGTAGAAAATTCTGGCGGCAAAAGAGAAAACTGAACTTCCAAAGAGTTCCATTTTAAAAATAGGAAGAGATCCAGAAAGAAAATAAGTAGAAGGCTTTGGTTTTATTGAAACAGAAGAAGAAGAAGAAGAAACATCGGAGGGCCATGGTGGAGTCAGAGAAAAAGAAAACAGAAAAGTGAGTGATGGCTCTAAGAGGAAGACGAGGCAGGAAGGGAAGAGCGGGATGTAAAAGTGCAGACTCAGCTTTTTCCAGACACCTGTCTAATGTTTCATTTGAAGGAAGTTAAACCCCCTCCTCTGAAACACACACACAGGCCACACACTGACTAACTGACAGACACAAACACACACCAACCAGACCACATGCAGACACCAGGTTTTTCTCTCTGCACTGATATTTAAAGGAGCAGCAGGCGTACAGGATCGGATTCTGATGGATTATTCCCCAAACTGTGATCTCAGAAAATGTTCTGCAGATTGAAAACGTTATTTTGAAGGGATAAATTACATTTCTCTCTCTAAAGACTCGCTGTGGGACAAAACAGAGCAGCTGCTGTTGCTCACATGTTCCAGAGCAAGAAAGAAGTTTTAAAGATGAACAAATCCCGTCTCTTTTCAAATGTAGATTTTTAGCATTTGTCACAACAACTTTGAAGTCAACTAGCTGGCAGTTTCCACGTGATCAGTGTGCGCCCTCTCTATTCGATTCTTGTGCTTCCACTGCACGTGCCTTGGTCCGTCTCCTGCACATTCCAGCAACGCCACTCTGCTCCAAATACGCCCCAAGCTGAACAAAGCAGATCGACCCAGACAGGAAGTCAGACAAGGGAACGCATCGGGTCAATTTTAAAATAAAACACAATGTACTGACTCCAGATCGTTAACCACATCACTTTATCAACATTAACACCAAAACAGGAACCAAATGAACAAGTCATTATCAGAATGAAAAGTAACCTGTTGATGGTATGTTCTCTTTATTCCTGCATGATCTTGTGAACCTTGAAGTACACCTGCTCATGGCTGCGCTCAGAAACAGACCCAGTGGGTTATATGTGTCGGACAGAGCAAAACCGCTGTGGAGACGGAATGCAGCGCACTTAAATCCCATGGAATCAGCCCGTAACCCGGGCTGCCCGCTTTGAGGACCACAGCGTCTCTCTTGGAAAAGAGGTTCTTAATCTCAGCGGGGCCAACCTGGTTAAATCAAGGTTAAATAAATACAAATGAAACACCTGCCAAAACACATCAAAGTTAAAACATTTTTTGGGTTGATGAATTTGCAAAAGTTGTATTTCTTTTTTGACCTGATGTAGAATAATGTGTATAAATGTGTCATCAATACCTATCAGCGTCAGATTCCCCCCTGCGCTGGTTTAGCAATGTTTGAACCTAACTCCATTTTTAAAAAAACGAGCCGTTTGCTTGTCGTCTCACAGACAGACCTGACATATTCATTATGAAGACATTCCAGCATCCTTTCAGCCTGTTTATTGTCATTAAATATCAGTCAAATCTTTTTATCTTGGGTTCATAGAACTGAAGACAGATTTCAGGCAGCTTTAATTTAAGGAATACAAGGTGATCAAAATGTGTTGCTGTTGGTCTGAACACAGATAATAAGAGCAATGAGGCTTTTCTGTCTCTTAATTCCCTTACACTAGTTAAAACATTCAGGTTCGGGCAGCAAATGAGATCGTTCTAAGATGTTTAATATCTTAAAGAAATGTGCATTTGTTCGATTGTTATTTGAAACATGCGTGGGACTTTAACGTGAAGAAATATATTAAAGATTTTAAGCCTGGATTTGTGTTCAGTTCGGTCCTGATACTGATGTCATTTGTTTGTTTTTTTCTTTTGGAACCATGGCAACTTTAATTGCAGTCAACATCAGCATTATTTTTCGATAAATAAAGTGGACAGCTGATTGCACTCTGCTCTCTGATGGTTTCTGGCTCCAGTAATCCACAACAAGTGGAGTTTTTTTCTGACGTTTCTTTAATGACTTCTCCTCCAAGCCTCATCAACATGATGTTTAAAACATGAAATCACGCTGGAACGATTCTTAAATGTCACGTACGACTCCAGCACACCTCGTCTGCTCTGCAGGAGTTCGCCGCTTCACGTCACAATGCAAATAAATAAATAAAGTTAATTATAGAAGTTCCTCTGTAAAACTTGTTTGTTAAACAGGTCGGTTGTCTCAGAGGAGAATTTTCACAGGAAAGTAATTTCAAACTGCTCTCCGCTTTGTATCATTTGATTACATGATCGTATAAATGTAGATGCAGACGTTGAAGCGTTCCCTGATTCCTCAGTGAAGCTGCACACTTTTTTATTTCTAATAAACTAAGTTTGACTGTCAGACTGCTTCTTTACTAAAGAGTAACATCATCACAGACATTGGTCACCAATGCTAGAAGCCTGCTCTGTACAGACAGGTGGATGCTGCCACCTGGTGGATCAGAGGTGGAAATGCAAACTAAAAAAGATCAGACATCAAAGAGTTCACTTTAAAATCTGTCTACACCAAGGAAACATGTTTTATCATCTTCTTAGCTCATCATTCGAAGTTTCTTATTGTATTACACATCATGCCAGATAGTTTATTTTATGTTTTTTTGTGTAAAATGCACAGAAAACACAACTCTGCTCCTTTAAATTGTTAAATATTCTGGTCTTTTATTGATCGATGGAGAAAACAAGGGACAAAGATCAGATTTGAAGCCGTCGCTCTCACAGATGTTGTAAAGTGTTGAAAGGCACTTTCCCCATTAACAGAGTCTCAAACATAAACTGAGTCCTTTGTGTTTCTTAACAATCATCACATTTACAAACATTACAGATGTTAGATCGAGGTGCGAGTTCACAGTCTGATAAAAGTGAAATAAATGTTGTTTAAAAAGAAGAAGGCTGCAGAGAATGAAGGCAGGTTTGTTAAAGCGATCTTTTAGAGTACAGTCTGTCAAAGTGATGGTTATCAAGCAGCAGGGTCTGCAGGACTGAAAATCTGACAAACCATTGGTGTTAGATACAAATAAAAAGATTAACATGGAAGCTTCTGGTGACTCCGTTTCAAACAACTGCAGTGAAATCTGCACGTCAACTGTTGACATGATGAAAAAGACAGAAAAGAGCATATAAGAATAAACTGCATAAAAGAAGCGGAAGAAGTCAACATGATGTCACCTGTTGATCTGAGGACGGTTTTGAAGCAAGTTTGTTAATTTGGCTGACACCATCTCGTTTATCTGGACAAGAGGGTGGAGCTAAAGATGAGATACGGGTTAGGAAGTCCCAAGTTATGAGCGTCGATATTTCACGTTAGCTGTTAGATTTGGAAGGTGACAAACAACAGACAAAACAAGAGTAAAGCGTCAAAGAAGAGTTTTTATATGAAACTAAAACTAATACAGGAGCTTCTCTGTTGAATCTCCCCATGTCTGTATTAATCGTGCATCAGCTGGTGGCTGTGTATAACATCCATCAGACACTGAATGTTAGAGCAGCTGTAAAATCTGTTATTGAGCATTGAGTGTTTACTCCAAAAACTGAAGACACAGTTTTGAACAAACGCTCCTCGTTTGTTTTGTCCGACTCACACACACATCCACTAAATGAACCAGGTGTGAGTGTGTTACGTGTTTAAAACTGTCAAAGCTCAAAGATCATAAAGATTTCTGTAGATCACAGCAAACTTGTTACGGATGCAGCGGCTCACGGGGAAACTGATTACTAGTGAAATCAGTTGCATTGTTTTGCATTTCAAAGGAATGAAAGACTGTTCCAGTCGTATCTTTTGTCGTCGTCAAAGTTTTCTTAAAAGATGTTACGATATCGTCTCGTCTGGTGAGATATGTACATTGTCTCACCCATGATGAACATTCCTCTCCTTCTTGCTTCTTGTGGATCAACCTAACCCTGAACTAAACATTTAGTTTCCCATGTAAGCCACCTGTCAATCAGAGGAAGCCCCACACCTAACCCCGCCCCCTCTTTCTGGTCTCTTTGACTCTAAATCAATCTGTGTTGAAAAAAGACTTGAAACTAGAGATCAAATAAAATGATTAGTAAAATTGTACCTAGACTTCTATACAATCAGACCCCCTGCTGGTCAGAAGAAATACTGCAGGTTTAAGGCTCTTCTTCACTGGCTCCAGTTCTTAATTACAGTCTATTGTACAGATTAATTAAAGTTGTGTTTGAGTTCCGTCTCTATGTCAGTTCACGACATTTTAAAGTTATTATTTATCTTCACCTGATTATGTCAGAAACACTCTCTCTCGCTCCGTCACACACACTCACACACGTCTCTCTCAGAGTTTGGCCTTGGCCTGGAAGAAGGTCATGATGGCGTTCATGCACTCGTCTGAGAGCCAGCGCTCCATCAGACGCTCCACCTCTGCATCGTTCACCGCGTGCAGACGCTCTTTATCTGTCGACCGGATCAGCTGTTTGGAGTAGGCGAGGGACTGAGAGAGAAAGAGAGGGGGAGCGAGAGAGAGAGAGAGAGAGAGAAAACAATATTAAAAAATAGAAACACAAACAGCAATTGGAGCAAAACTAGCTTACTTAGTGAAGCTGTCAGTTAGAGGTATTTATCGACTACATTTTTTTAGTTGTAGTTTTATTAAATGAACTATTTGTTTGCCTCTCCTGCATCACTTTCATTACTCAGCAGGACGACTTTGAAGCACCCTTTTAAAATAAAGACACTTTTTAAATCACAACACAAGGGGCTATGAGACGTCAAAAAGCTAAATAAAAGCTTGACCATTAAAGAAATGTCTCTTCTCTAAAACTCAAACTGGTGTATCAATAAAGGAATAGTTGTGTATTTTTTTAAGTGTGGTTTTATGAGGTACTTACATACTAATGACAAGTACGTCAAACAACCACATTTGAAAAAATATACAACTATCCCTTTGAATATGTGCACAAAAAGAGAGAAGATGGTGTGATCTTTATGGATCTTAATGTGCGTGTGTGTGTCTGTGTGTGTGTGTGTGTGTGTGTGTGTTCTTACCTTGGGAGGCAGCTTGGCGTAGCTCTTCAGTCGGGTCCAAACCTCAGACTGGAAGCTGCTTTCAGGGAAAACCTCGGTGACCAGACCGAGCTCAGACGCCTGAGCCGCCGTCAGCTTCTTGTTGAACAGCAGCATCTCAGTGGCCTGAGGGAGGAAAACAAACACACACCAAAACTTTACGAGACACAAACTTTGCAAAACAAAGACATGTTTGCGGCTCTTTTAGTTTCTGCTCATCCCCAACACTTTCTAAAACTCTTCTTTCGTCTCGACTAAGGTGAGGAGGTTAAGATCTATACCAGTACAAACAGTGTTCTACACAGCAACCAGTCTTTTATAGATAAAGTCCTCAGATTTAACTAAAATTAACAACCTGTTCATCACTGAGGATCCCATAACTCAAGATCTTTTCTCCACTGTCTTTTTGTGCTGCCTGTGTGTGTGTGTGTGTGTGTGTGTGTGTGTGTGTGTGTGTGTGTGTTGTGTGTGTGTGTGTGTGTGTGTACCTTTGCGTGGCCCATGATCTTGGGGAAGGTGTAGGACGAGCAGCCCTCAGCACTCTGACCCAGCTGACTGAACGGAGTGTGGAAGGTGGCCTGATGGAGAGAGAGTCACCAATCAGTGAGAAGATCTCGTTGACTCAAAGACACGTCAGATTATTTACTATGAAGCCAGATTCAAATATAAACACAGTGTTTATTTATTTAATGTTTAATTGTAAAGGAACAAGAGTGAATAATGTAAACCAATGTCAAACTCTGCACATTAACTTTGGCTAAAAATGCTGTAGTGTTAAAAATACATCAAATCAACAGTAAATAATCAAGAGGAGAACAAAACAAACAACAACAACACGTTCTAAATATCATACAGTTCAAATAAAACAGGAATGGAATGGTCACAGTAGTCACATAACCCATTAAACCAGTTTGACTTTAAAAACCAGTCTGAGTTTAAAATGATCCTAGTCTGAAACCAGTCTGAGTTTAAAATGATCCCAGTCTGAAACCAGTCTGAGTTTAAAATGATCCCAGTCTGAAACCAGTTTGTGTTTAAAATGATCCCAGTCTGAAACCAGTCTGAGTTTAAAATGATCCCAGTCTGAAACCAGTTTGTGTTTAAAATGATCCCAGTCTGAAACCAGTTTGTGTTTAAAATGATCCCAGTCTGAAACCAGTTTGTGTTTAAAATGATCCCAGTCTGAAACCAGTCTGAG